GAGCCGCAATCCTTAATAAGGTCCATGAACGCATCTAGGGTCCTAGGCGTCCTGGTTTTAGATGGCGCCGTCAGCCAGATTTCGTATCCGCTCTGTGACAAGGGGCTGGTTTTCGTGTCCATGCCCCTGGTCAAGGCTGCCTCCAGCGCGAGCTCGAAGTATACTATAGCCTGAGCAAGGACCTTCACATGCGACAGGGTCACGTCCCCGACCACCGATAACAGGACGCGGGTGTCGAAATTGTCGTCACTGGGGTCTTTGATCATCGCGTAGTTGTTGTTAAGGAACCCAAACATGTTGCTGACTGTGGCGTCTACGTCTTTGGGGTTTGCCGGGACATCTTCCCCCGAGGAATTTGCCGCTTTTTCATCCGGCCTATGGGCTTTTCTTGTGCCGACCACCTCCACGGAGACGATTTGATCAGGCAACCAGCGGAAAACGGGCGATACTAGCTTTATGATGTCTGGCGAGAGAAGCATATCATGTCAGCGGATACGGACTATCAACACTCGAGGGACAAACACATTTCGGCTAGACCTGGGCACTTACATGGCTTGGATTTTGTGAGTGAAACTGAAAGCGCAGGGTGGATCGACCACTTGGAAACTGGTACCGAGGCCCCTTGAAGCGGATTGGCGAGGTTTACCAACGGCGGGGTGGGCTTTGAACATAAGGCTTGAACGAAGGTTTCGAAAGATTCGGGGACACGCTCATTTATCTCCTGGTTTTGATTAGATAGTGGCTGCGCTCCCAATTTAGAACCTGTTGCTTCTGTCACGCCAGGGACCGAACGTGGATTTCGGGGTTGTTGCGGGTTCTGCCGTTGGCCACGAGGAGCCGTCTCGTGTCGTTGTTGCAGACCAGATGGTTTGTCTACCGTAGGGGGCTGTTCGTCCAATCGTATCCACGTTTCCAAGACAACAGCCCCAATATGGAGCAACGGCAGCGCTAAGGCTGTCAACCCCTCTTCTTCTTCATCCTCGTCATCCGGCCGGGGCAGAGCCTTTCCCCGAAGCGGGCCACCTGCGCCTGGCAAAGTTGACCTAGAAACAAGGTCCTCCTTTCTGGTCTGCTGCGGCTGTGGTCTCAGGTTGCCTCTCTCCTCGTCGACTCTCGGCGGGACTTGCCTGGTAGGGGGACCAGCCCTGCCCAGTTTCTCCCTCTCTTCTTTCTCCCTGGCTGCTTTCTCCTTCGTTTCTCTCTCCCTGGCTTCTCTCTCGTCTTTTGCTTTCTGCTCACTTGCGATCTCCCCTTGGACGTTTGGCGCTGAGCACGCGGATCCCATGATGAACAGCACCGAGGCAGTCGGTCTCTCACACAAAGTGGCTCGAAAAATCCAAGTGTGGATGTGCAAGATCCTCGTCGGAGCCTGGGACGACAGGCGAAGGGGAGGATCAAGTGGTGCAAAAAGTCGAGTTTGGTTTGCTGGGACAGTTGAGGACTCGCTGTGCTGATATACGCCCGACTTGGGTGGTAGGCCACTGTTGGCAGGATTTCGGTTGGGTGCGCCGCGCCACTGGCGAGCCTGCGCCGTTCTTTCGTGCCACCATCAGGCCCATTCGCCGGCCTAGCCGGGTCCGACCCGCTCGCCCGGATGCGTTGATGAAACAAGAAACCAACAGGGAAATGTTCTGTGGGCTAGGTTGCTGGCAGACCACTGCCTACTGTAAATCCGGGGCGCTGCTGTTTGTTCGTGTTGGTGCGCAGCGTCCTGGCACTCGGCTGCCAGGCCCCGGAGCCCGGGGCCGTGTCGGTTCTCGAGCTCGGACTTGGAAAACCCCCGAGCGGACTTGGTCGCAGTGGCCCCTGACGACAGAGATGACTCTGTTATAAGGATGCTTTAAATCGCTTCATCCTCAGCGCCCATCAAGAAGTCTTCCTGTGAGGCACATCCATTTCACAAGGCAGTGATGGCGTGCATTCGTCGCCGGCAGTAGCATCCATTCACGATCACATAACGAGGCACCGATTGCCTCCAACCCCGCGATTGAGATGATACCAGGGGTCGATGGCAGCAGGCGACCCGGCCAATCCAGTCAGGTACATACGCCGCAAAATATCCACTGGATAGGGATTCGTTTCCATGTCATCCATGGCAGTCACCTGTGAGCATGACTGTTCATCGACTGGGTGTGATGCGGCAGGCGCGATCACTGATTAGGGCAGGTTGGCTGTGCTGTGCTCTCTGTGCTCTCCACTGTGGGCGTCCACGAGCTCCAGTGTCCCACCGGCGTCAGCATCCGTGCGTCTTCTGTAACTCCCGTCTCGGCGCCATAAGCCCTCGCCGCTCATGGACGTCTCGTATGTGCAACAACATAAGCATTCCTGCGCTTACCTGAGCTTGTTCATCATCTGAATTATCTCCTCTCGGTGTCCTGCCCTTTTACTGGTCTGCCATACTCGACAATGCGCCAAATTAGTCGGGTGTGTCAGGCCGCCCAGGGGCCGCCGCCGCCGCGAGGAACTGCACTGTCGCGCACACAAAACAGCGTGAGGAGCTCCTTCCTTTCGCCATCCCATCAATGGAAGAACTTCCGGCGCTCGGCACCGAAAAACCTGTCGTGGCAGTTCGAGCAAATGATCCAATTGCCGATAAGCCGGTTATGAACGAAGAAAGCAGGAGGCCTTCGTGGCTCGATGCTGACAGGTGCCGAGGACCTCCATGTGGAAACTCCAGGGGATGGGAACGCGGCCGGACGGCGGGCAAGGCCGGCCATGGATGCAATAAAGTGCTAACCAGGGGCATTTACGGCGCGGCGTCGCACGGCGGTCGCCTGCAATTTCATCAGTCAGCAGCCCGCGCACCTGCACTGCTTACCGGCTCTGCCCAGCCGGCACAGCACCCAAAAGGGCTGCGAATGCTGCGTGCCATTGGGTCACCATCCTTAGATGAAATGAGACTCCTGCAAGCTGGATGACCATGGCGCACGCTACAGAAGGGGTGGATGCGTCTTACACACCAAGATAAACTTTCTTGTCTTGGGGGCAATGTGTCGTTCCTCCTCGTCAAATACATAGGCGAGGATGTTGTTGTGTCGCCGTGTTTTTGTCCTTTTGGTCTGGCGATAGCATCACGCGCCTGATTTGGTCCCCCGTCGCTCCTTTTTTCGCGCCCACACGTCCCTCGGGACAGCCACACTCCTTCCTTTTTGCGGATTTTGCCGTAGACACTCATTTATCTTGCTCGCAATGCGTACATTCTTTTTTCTTGTTGCGCTGCCCGCCGTCGCCCTGGCAGTGCACCAGCCGCTCCTCCGCAGCCGGCAGTCCGAGTCCAACGGGGATTCGGTTTCTTGCGAAAGCTATGACTTGAAATCGTGCGGCGATGTCTGCATCGAAGCCGGCCAAACATGCTGCCCCGACTTGACAGGAGGTTGTCCTCCCGAAACTGAATATTGCTCCCTTTCAGACGACGGCGTCTCGTATGGCTGCTGCCCCAACGGATTCACCTGCACTGGTTCTGTCCACTATTCCGCTTCGTCTTCGACAATCACCGTCACGGACAGCTCGACTGTACCTGCAAGCACTGTGGTTTCGACTGTGCCTGCGAGCACTGTGGCTTCGACTGTGCCTGCAAGCACCGTGGCTTCGACTGTGCCTGCAAGCACCGTGGCTTCGACTGTGCCTGCAAGCACCGTGGCTTCGACTGTGCCTGCAAGCACCGTGGCTTCGACTGTGACGTCGACATTGGAAAGCTCGACCGTTTCGAGCACAGTTGCAACTTCGGCAGAGGTTTCGACGTCGGAGGCCGCGCCCAGCACCGTGGTCTCGACGTCGACATTCGAAAGCTCGACCGTTTCGAGCACAGTTGCAACTTCGGCAGAGGTTTCGACGTCCGAGGCACCGCCCAGCACCGTGATCTCGACGTCGACCACAACGGACATGTCCTCGGGCGGAGTCTCCTCGGCCCCGGCTTCGACCTCTGACGCCCCTGACAGCAGCATCGCCTCAACATCGACATCGTCTTCGACTTCAGCTGCCAGCGTCGTGTCTTCGGGCGATGTGAGTCCATCTTCGACCCCAGACGACAGCATGTCATCCGCCGAGGCGACAGCTTCCTCCATCGAGGCCACCGGGTCTGCGGCCCAGACATCAGCATCCACCACTGCCGCCTCAACCGAAAACGCTGTCCCGGCCAGCAACAGCAATGCCGGACCCAGTGACTCCCCAGTGTCGACATACGGGTTTGTGACATCGACCATTTACATCACGACCACAAAAACCATCACGTCGTGCGCGCCCACGGTCACATCCTGTCCGGCGCGGTCGACAGTGATCGTCACGGAAGTCGTGGCTGTCTCGACAACCGTGTGCCCCATCACCGAAGCTCCAGTGACTGAGGTCCCCAACACTGAACCCAGCGATACCGTCACCCCTATGATCACCGCAACTAGTGCGGCTGCAAGCGTGGCTCCCGCGGCCAACCCGCCTGCATCCAGCGGCAGCGGCAATGGAGAGGCGGCGACGACTCTTCAAATTAACCCGACTGCATCCAGCGGTAGCGGCAATGGAGAGGCGGCGACGACTCTTCAAACTAATCCGACCGGCGGCTATCAAACAAAGACGGCCACGGCGTCGCAAAGCGTCGTCACGGCTGGCGCCGCAGAGAGCTTTGGTACTGCTTCGGTGATGCGTGTCGTCGGTTTGCTGGCTGGGGTGGTTGCGGTTGCGGTTTTCTGAGATGGTTTCCACATGGGGGTGTGACTGGGCTTTTCTTTTGATGATAGATGGTTGTCTAATTACTGCTAATTAAGGAGAATTCAGATAAGAGGTCAAATTAATCAATTTCATTCAAGTCTGGAAACTAGTCAACGAACAACGATCTTGAAGTGGATGGATTTGTGCTGCTCTCTAGTCTCTCCAAGATTGCTCGCTTTAAAATAAGGCAGCTGATGAGAGATAAAAACAGAGGCAAAAAGTACCGAAGAAATGTGAACATTTTAGACAGACAATGGGATGAAAACGGGTTAGTGACGGATAGCAAAAAGGAGAAAAGGATTGGGGCTGTCCGGGGATTGAACCCGGGACCTCTCGCATGCTGAGTGCAACCCAAAGCGAGAATCATACCTCTAGACCAACAACCCTGAGCTTCGCTGAATGATTATGTAAGTTAGTTAAACTGCATCAGCCCTATAAGCCCCGTCTGATGCTCAAATTCCATCTGACTCGACCCCCCTTTCCCTTTCATCCTTTCACGCCATCATTCAGTTCTTATCCACGCATGGTTGAGCGATTCCTACAATTATGTGTTTTCCTCCTTTTTTTGCTAGTAACCAAACCTATTTTTCTCTCAGTTGTGATGACGCATCCGGTTGCAAATCACCAGTTCGAAACTTCCTTGAAGCACCTGTGTCGTTGCTCGGCTTCATCCGGTCGCACCTCAGACAACTTCTCGACAGATGTACCAGAAAAGCTTGGAAATGACATACGATTAAATCTCCGCTACACACTACTTACCTTGCCTGACACCTGATCCATGTCGCACACAACAGCGTCGCACGCCAGTCTATGCTCTATAAAGCACAGAGTGCTCCGCCTACATTGAGGGTAAACGTCATGTCCGCACCGGGCCTGATACCTCATATCTCGCCCGCTTACATCACTCTGGAATCTTATCATCCGTTTTCAGGATTCGGGATCCGACTATGGACCCAGCAGGGTCAAAGCGGCGATGGATCTCGCAGCTGAGAGAAACGTTCCCCCTGACGGGCGTCGACCTGATCGCGCCAAAGGTCATGGCGCGGGGCGTCTACGGCTTCCCGTTTCCAGACCCCGCCGAAATTGAGCCCGCCGTGTCGTACCTCAGACAACGCTTCCACCTGGCACTACAGCGGTGGCCGTTCCTCGCCGGCCAAGTCGTGCAAGACGAGGGCGACCAGCATTTCAAGCTGGTCTTCTCGCACGACCCCGCTAACTTCAGCATCAACCGCTTCCCCGACGAAGTCTTTGACTTTCAGGTCCTGGGGACGAGCGACTTTGCGTGGACATATGACGAGCTCAGCATGAACCGTGTCCCGCCGTCCGCTCTCACCAGGGACGTGTTCTCTCTCGAGCCCCACAACCCGGCCGTGGGCCGGCCGAACTACCCGGCCGCGCTGCGGGTGTCCTTCATCGACGGCGGCCTGCTGCTATGTTTCTCGCTCGACCACCGCGTCGTCGATGGCGTGTCGATCGTGCAGTTCGTTACCTTCTTTTCGAGCGCCGAGACAGCGGGGTTCGACGCCGCGTACTTCAACGACCTGCTGCAGCGCAGAAACGCCATCAACACTATCCAAAACGGAACAGCCGCGGCCGATCTCACACGCTTGCCCAATCTCGACGTCGCCCCAGCAACCCCAGCAGCGCCCCCTAACGCGAACCTGTCGAGCGTCGCCCGGATCCTCGCCTTCTCGGCGGCCACAGTCGACAGCCTGCACGCCAGAGCGCTTCAGCACGTCAAACTATCCCACGGCACGTCATCGTTCCTCTCCAAACCCGACGTGCTCGGCGCCCTGGTGTGGCAGCACGTGTTGCGCGCGCGGCGGCCGCGGCTGCAGCCCGACGAGACGGCACGCTTCGCCAGCGCTTGCGACCTGCGCACGCGCAGCGCGGACCCGAGCATTACCGGGCCCCCGGCCTACTTTGGCAACATGTTCGTGCGGTCGACGGCCAGCGGCGCGGTGCGCGACCTCGCGCCGGCCGCCGAGGCGCGCCGCCCTGTCACGCTGCAGCGCGTGGCCGAGACGGCGTGGCTCGTCCGCCGCGGCGTCGCGACGCTCAGACACCCGCACGACGTGGCGGCCGCGGTGCGGTTGTGTGGTGTTGCCGGCAGCAGCAGCATCAGCAACGCGTTCACGTACGACCTCGACAAGGGCCGCACGGGGCTGAGCAATTCCATCACGACCCGCATGGGCGCTGATGTTATGTTTGCCCACGTCCCGGGCGTGCGCCCCGGCCCGCCCGGCTGGGTCCGCAAGACGTACTCGGCCACCGAGGGCTCCATGAATATCCTGCCGCGCCGGGGCGGCGCCGCGGGCGCCGCCGACTGGGAGGTCTCCGTTGCGCTGCGGGTGGACGATATGGACAGGATCTGCGCTGCGCAGGAGCTGGGACAGTATCTGCTGTAGGTGTCGGCTTGCTAAGGGGGTTTTGGTGGATGTGAAGTGTATATAGTGAGTGTGGTGAGCGCGGTGAGTGCTGTTGGGTAATGCTAGGCCTGGAAGGGTCAAAAGCAAACTCGAGCCCAACACAGGTTGAGCGCTGTTGGTGGCAGGTTCGGGTACTCGCAAGCAGCTTGCGACTTGATCAAGTGGGCGATTTAGAAGCCCTGGCGAGTATGCGGCGTCTTGATGGTGATGGTGGGGTGGTCTCGTTGTTGGTTGAACTTGGTTGGTCTGATGAATATGACAAGCAAAAGATTAGTTCACAAATTCCAATCCCTGCTAGAATCAGCCCGGGTGCCACAAACCCCGGGTTACACGAACTGTCAGATGTTTAAACCAACCTGCTGCAGGCGTTGTCGTTCTCTAACATCGGGGGTAGCGGTGTAGGAGGCGTCGAGATGATGGCGATAACAGGCGAGCAGATGGTGGAGGTGGTCGTGCGCAGGAGTTCGACGAGCTGGAATCGAGGTTTTGATATTATCAGCGTCGCCCAAGCGATGCGCGATGGAGGGATTGGGTGAGCACGATATGTCGGGGTGATGGCGACAACCTACCTCAGTACTACCTTCTATAGCCTATCTAGAAAGTTCGAACCACTAGGAGCAGTAGCCAGACACACCCAAAACAGCAACTTGCCCAGGCCAGGCTTGAACGACTCTCGGACACATATCTTTCATTCCAAGTCGGGCGGAGGAAGATTGTCGTCCGAGAACAAGTCTCCAAGGTGGTAAAATTCGTCTTCAAGTTCAAGGATGTGATTTCCTCAGCCATCTCAGCGGAGCCGCATGCTGGGCTGGCCTGGGCCGGAGTTTTAGTGATCCTCCCTGTAAGTGCCAACCGTCCCCCGCACGTCCAGTTTAGGTTGCTGATAGGTTTGCGTCGCTGCCAAGATGTTGGAGAACATATCCAAGCAAGACGAGGACGCCTTGGCAGGTGTGGAGCAACTTTCGTTGTGGCTTGTGCGATATCGCCTGGTCGAGGACCAAGTGGCAGAATGAACAGGCTGTTAAGACAAGGCTCGAGACTCCTGCCTATGACAGTTAAATGCCTGATTTCTAGCATGTAAGCACTAGGCCGTTGTTGGCGTAGATCAACACCTGTAAACGCGCCATTCCAAAGTGGCCCTGGTATGCAACAATTGGATGCAAATGGTAAACGAGATGAAAGACAAGGACGAAGAAATATTGAAAGGCGCTGCTGCATGGGCTGCTTGGATCTGAAGATGCGGGTCATGAACCGATCTCCGCATCGGGACGTTGTGAAGGAAGGTCCCGGACGAATCCTCTATAGATACTTGGAGCACATGCGTAGTTGCCCATTGGCTCGTCATTCGTCAGGTATTGCTATTTCTAGGCCTCAGGGGAGGAAGTCAGTGAGGAATACATGACCGGCGTTAAGGCCTGGCCGCCCGCTCAGGGGCAGGGAAGTCTGTTGCGGCTGGCCTTCTACAGTCGGGTGGTGCCCGCGTTCCCTCCCGTGAGCTGCCTCGAGGAGACGGCGCCCCAGCACGAGTCGGCGCCGTGATACCAAGCCTCTTCACACCCCTCAGAATTCCTCTTTCAGACGATTCCTCAGACGTCTAGATCTTCTCGGGACACGTGTTGACGCATTTGACCGTGTCTCTCTAAATAGAGTCGCCGAGGTATTTGGATGATCCATGCCTAATAGTAGGACGGTTTCCCATTGTAATTATTCCGGTGCTAGCGGTCATTTAGCTCTACTTCTCTTGGGTAGAAGTAACCGGTACTCAGAGATATAGAACAAAAAGGAGGAGTAAATGAGGCAGGTCCTTATTCCCACTATCTAAACTATAGGAACTGTAGCAGATGGCTAAGCTAGATCAGCTGGACTATGACTACACTGCCGTACTGGAGCTTTGGGTCGCGTGGTTGGCATGGTGTGCTGACGAATTTCGACTAGGTTTGACCTTATAGCCCTTATTCGGCTCGGCTTCATTCGGCTCGGTTAGCCGTGCCTCCTTTCGACATAAGTCTCCAGCGGTCAGGCAAATAGTATGAATTGGCTATTTTCATGAGACCGATTCTGGGCCTAATCAGCTAGGGTTGAAGCAATTCAATATGATGCAGCACAGCCTGCCAAAATGGTATTTAAGGTGAGTAAGTGTGAGCAAACCTGAGCAAATCCCGAGTAAAGAACGAGCCGGGCTGAGCCAGGGTGAGCAATATCACGTGGGCGAGGTACAAAAATGGAAATGTATGTTTTGCCCAGATTCGTCCCACAGAACATATCAAATAAAGATATATCCCTAACTAGCGTTATTATCATTATCACCTGAATCCCCAACCCTTTTACTCCCAGCTGTAAAGCGCTGTTAGTTAAATGCGTCCTTACGATACTAGACTCGTCTCCCGGCTTCCTAGCCATTCTCATGTATTGTCTCATGTCGCTATCTTTCTTACCGGTCTGGTTGTTTGGTAATAATCTAAATCTCTGGGATCTCGCACCACAAGTAGCTCCCGCTGATCATATTGACTGGGTTAGGCTCGCAGCAGTCTACAATCCATGGCGCCGTGGAGTTGTTGCCGGGCAAAATGACGAAGTTGAGGTCTTGGGGGGTGGGTGCCAGAAAGGAAGAGGTTCCTGGCATCTAGCCAGCTCCGCTGACTTGATGTCCAGGGCCCCGAATCACTTTCTTTTTGATGGTTTGTATAGTTGTGGCGGGGCGGGAGTAGCATGAAGCCTAGATGTGGGGTATGTTGATCATGGCTAGTGTCTAGGTCACATTATCTAGGTTCCGAAACTAAACTATATAGGGACCGAACTATGTAATAGGGAATAGTTCTTTCGCAAGTAACGGAAATAGCTCGACTAATACATCAGATATTTGCCATGCCGAATTTCGACATTTTGCCCATCCATCTCCGCCACGTCCTCCACGCAAAAAGCCGCATGTGGGCAAGTGCGGCGGTGTGCCACACCTG